CAACGTGACCTGTTATCAGGACAATAGAGAAGACGTCCAACTTGTCATGGGTGGCATGAGAGCAGAACAGGGGGGCTGTCAGCTGTTAATAAATCCAATCAGATATTCAAGGCGAACAGCGGAGCCTGGCCAAACTTGGATACAGCTAGTTCTGCTGTAACATGTATTTCATTAATGCGAATTGACTGTAATGCAATTGATGAATAGTGGACTCTTATGGATAATATAAACTTTCTGCTGTACAGGTATAGCAATTTTCCTATAACATGATTTCCTGTGGCAATTTTCTAAAGCGTGATTTTCTATAGTGCGAGGTCATGCAAGAACGCAACTATCGCTTTATAGGAGAACTACCTGTACTGATCAATCCAATTGGGGATTCAGAGGGAACGTCCTTAAGGAGGGGCAAAGGATAACATGGAACATGCTCCCACAAGGACTGGTTGAGGAAAGTAGCAGAGGGCAGTGAAAAGGACCAGAGCTCCAGCCTGCGATCACCAACCAGCAAACCTGCAATAGGAAGGGTGTGGGTCACAGCCCAACCTAGCCCAGGGCTCAGTCGTAAGCTGCAGCTGTCCCCAGGGATAGCTGGGATCAGACTCCTGGGGTGTCGGCACTTTGGTCAGGGGAATGTGCGTTCATGTGCAAGTAGCGACCATCAGACCCGGGAGTGCCACCTGCAGCCCCGCCCGGTATCACATCTCACGCCCCACACACTCCTTACCCCTTTCTGCAGTCTCTTCATCAGGAACTCCGAGCCCCCAGGTCTCAGACCCAACACTGGATACTTGGCTTTCAGTTTGATTTCCTCTGCCTTCTCCGGGCTCATCGCCCCTTTCTCCTGCGTGTCCTATGAATCGGTGCGAGGCACAGTAAGAGGAAAAACAGTTGAGAGAGGATGCAGGAAAGGATAAATATAACTCTGACACAGGTATACACACACTGCCTGATTATAAGTGCCCGCTTGCTTTGAGTACATTAACTCTGCAGCCGCAAGGGGCACTGCAGCTCAGAACATTCTTTGCTCTATCATTTCTACAGTTCTACATTCAGCCCCTCAATTTCAACTCACCTTTACAACCTCCCCTCACTTTGCTCAGGTTTTACATAGATTCCGAATGTTTGGAATTGCAGGAGCCCAGGGGTCTTATAAGGTGCCGTTAACACAGAGGGTTGGAAAACCAGCTCCACAACACACGACAGAGACATTGAGGGGATTTTCCGTGTTAGTCACTGAGGATTACACGGAAGGAGATGGCCACTGAAGCCCCGTTCAGTTTGTCTCACTGTCCAATCAGATCACGACCGAGTTCTGTCTCTCAACCCCAAGCACCTGCCTTAGTTCCTCATCCAACAACAGTCTATTCCCCTAAGCCTCCACACCCACTCCATCAATTTTACTGGTGGGGGGGGGGGGGGGGGGGGGGGGGGAGGTTGGTGTAAGAGGTATGTGGGTTCCTCACATCATCCCTGAATAGGCAGCCTTTAAAGGTAACACCCACCCCCTACAAACCGTTCTGGACTCCAGCCCTCTTGCCCATACCCCAGAAGGAACCAGCATCTCGTGATAACCCTATCCCATCTTTTTAATTATCTCAAACCCTTCAATTAGATCAAAACCTAATCTTACACACTCAAGGGAACACAAACTTCATCAGTGCGGCCTGATTGCCGAAGTTAACTCTTTCAACCCTTCCTCCATGGTGGATGCTCCTCATCAGTACTGAGAGGACAGCTCAGGTGGGGAGGAATCACATTCTGTTACGATGGGTGGAAAATCACCAGTGCCAAATAAGACCAGAGGTTTACGTACAGTCCTGTTAGGAGTTGGGGGTGCTGTTTTAAATTTGGGGAAGCTAACTAAAGCTCACTCAAGGCTGACAAAAAAAAAAATACACACAAGGTCAGCGCAAACTAGAGCAAAGTAATAAATATCAGGTTGTAGTTTCCTGCTTTTGAGGAGGAAGGGGGATCTGGGAGCTCTAATACTGTGGACATTCTGTGAAATATTCTCAATTTCAGCTCAGGAAGACCATGCATGCTCAAGTCCGCACAGAAAGCTAACAGGGACTTCGCTGGAGAATTCTGATTGACTTCATGCAGATAATCATTTTGAGAACTTGGAACTGAAACTAGTTTGGGGTTGTTTACTTTCCTGAAGGGTTTAAAAGAGTAACTAGGTCACACATTCCTTCTGGAATAGTGACCTAATTCAGTGTGCGTCAGTCAGCAACGTCAATGGATGATTGTTTTTACTGTCGTGGTTTAGGATGGGTGTGGTAGTTGGATTCAGAAAGATCAAAGATTGTGTTTTGGTTTTCCAAGCTAAAATCAAAGTGTTTTTGGTCAGTTTGAAGGAGACCCAGCTGAGGCAAATATAGTTTCTCTCTGCGACAGTTCAGGGAGAGCACAGTTAATTCAGTAGAAAGGTTTCATCCCCTGTGCAACTTGCAGGTCAGGAGTGTTTGGTTACAAATTAAAAAGCTGAGAAAGTCTAAGCTCTCAGAGTTGAGAGTATTCAAGGAAGGGGACACCACAATTGACAGGAATGAAGAGAGGGAGAATGAGCCACAAAAGGCATAGAGTCATAGTCATAGTCACAGGGTCATACAGCACACAGAAACAGACCCTTCGGTCCCACCAGTCCATGCTGACCATAATCCCAAACTAAACTGGTCCAACCTGCCTGCTAGACAACAAGGTGCAGGGCTGGATGAACACAGCAGGTCAAGCAGCATCATAGGAGCAGAGAGGCTGACGTTTCGGGCCTTGACCCTTCATCAGAAAAGGGGGAGGGGAAGGGGGTTCTGAAATAAATAGGGAGAGAGTGGGAGGCGGATAGAAGATGGATAGAGGAAAAGATAGGTGGAGAGGAAACAAACAGGTCGAAGAGGCGGGGATGGGGCCAGTAAAGGTGAGTGTAGGTGGGGAGTTAGGGAGGGGATAGGTCAGTCCAGGGAGCGGGATGAGGTTAGTCAGTAGGAGATGGAGGTGCGGCTTGAGGTGGGAGGAAGAACAGGTTAGGGAGGCAGGGACGAGCTGGACTGGTTTTGGGATGCGGTAGGGGGAGGGGAGATTTTGAAACTTGTGAAATCCACATGGATACCATTGGGCTGCAGGGTTCCCAAGCGGAATATGAGTTGCTGTTCCTGTAACCTTCGGGTGGCATCGTTGTGGCACTGCAGGAGGCCCAGGATGGACATGTCGTCTGAGGAATGGGAGGGGGAGTTGAAATGGTTCGCGACTGGGAGGTGCAGTTGTTTATTGCGATCCGAGCGTAGGTGTTCTGCAAAGCGGTCCCCAAGCCTCCGCTTGGTTTCCCCGATGTAGAGGAAGCCACACCAGGTACAGCGGATGCAGTATACCACATTGGCAGATGTGCAGATGAACATCTGCTTAATGTGGAAAGTCTTCTTGGGGCCTGGGATGGGGGTGAGGGAGGAGGTATGGGGGCAGGTGTAGCACTTCCTGCGGTTGCAGGGAAAAGTGCCGGGTGTGGTGGAGCTGGAGGGGAGTGTGGAGCGGACAAGGGAGTCACGGAGAGAGTGGTCCCTCCGGAAAGCAGATAGGGGTGGGGAGGGAAAGATTCTTTGGTGGTGGGGTCGGATTGCAGATGGCGGAAGTGTCAGAGGATGATGCGTTGGATGCCTGCTCCTGTCCCGTATCCCTCCAAACCTTTCCTATTCGTGTACTTATCCAAATGTCGTTTGAAAGTTGTAATTGTACCCACATCCACCACTTCCTCAGGAAGTTTATTCCATACATGAACAACACTCTAAAAAAAAATTGCCTCTTGGGGCTTTTTGAATCTCAATCCTCTCATCATAAAAATGTGCCTGCTACTTTTGAAATGCCCCACCCAAGGGAAAAGACAACCACCGTTAACTCTATCTCTATCTCCCATGATTTTATAAACTTGTATAAGGCCACCCCTCAACCTCCTACACTCCAGTGAAAAATGTCCCAGAATATCTAGCCTCACCGTTCTAACTCACGCCTTCCATACCCGGCAAATCTGTTCCAAACCCTCTCCAGTTTAATGATATCCTTCCTATAACTGGGCAACCAGAACTGGACACAGTGCTCCAGAAGAGGCCTCACCAATGTCCTATACAACCTCAACGTGACGTCCCAACTTCTACACTCAAAGGTCTGAGCAATGAAGGCAAGCGTGCCAAACGCCTTCTTAACCATCCTGTCTATATGTGACACAAACTTCAAAGAATTATGTACCTGCACCCCTAGGTCTCTCTGTTCCACAACACTACCCAAGGCCCTACCACTAACTGCTTAAGCCCTGCCCTTGTTTGTTGTACCAAAATGGAATTCGAAGGAATAATTGTAAAGTGATGGTCTTGGGGAAAAGATCAAAACTTTGTTTTAGATGTTTTCTTCTGTATTCTATATCTAGTTAACTCAATTTGGTTAGGTTTATATTATTTTGCTGTTCTGTATAATAAACCTGTCTTCTTTTCCATCTGATCGCAGTCAACTCTACCCCAAACTGCGCAAGATGTTTAACTGTTGCATCTTCTAAGCTAAGATTAACCCATGATAACTCAGTTCCCAAAGAAAATCTGCAGCCTTATGTAATGATGTTTAATAATGAATAACCGCCACATTAACTAGATTCTTGCTTTAAAAATCCACCAGGCCAGATTTCAATCTGGGATCTGACTTATCCATTGGCTATGGCACTGGTGATCTGCCCAAAGCCTGCGTTTCTGACCGTTTCTCCAGAGCTCCTGGCAGCTCCTCATTGGAAGTCAGCAACACACCTGGGGAAAGAGGTCCTGTCCTCTTCACAGAGGTTCAAGATTTCCAGCTTTACCACCAATGCCTCAGGAAACTCTGCTACCACCATCACTACTCTCACACAGGGAATGCAGCAGCCAAAACACGTGCGCAGCAGGCTCCCACAAACAGCAAAGCGATCATGACACAGATCTTCCTAGAATTCCTATACTGTGGAAGCAGGCCAATCAGCCCATTGAGTCCACACCGACCCTCCAAACAGCGTTCCACCCAGACCCACCTCACTACCCTATTTGTGTAACCCTGCATTTCCCATGGCTAACTCACCTAATATGCACATCCCCGGGCACTACGGGGAAATTTAGCACGGCCAATCCACCCTAACCTGCACATTCCTGGGCATTATGGGACAATTTAACACGGCCAATCCACGCTAACCTGTACGTCCCTGGGCACTACGGGACAATTTAGCACGGCCAATCCACCCTAATCTGAACTGTGGGAGGAAACGGGAGCACCTGGAGAAAACCCACAGAGACATGAGGGAAGAACGTGCAAACTCCACACAGTCAGCCAAAGCTGGAATTAAACCCAGGTCCCTGGCGCCATGAGGCAGCAATGCTAACCACTAAATAAGACTAAAAAGTCTTATTTTCTCTTTTAAACATCAAGGGATAAATAGTGGCCCCAAGATGCCAGGGAGAACACAGTGGCCGTAAGAGAATCAAAGAGGTATATGAATAGGAAGGGTTGAGATGGATATGGGCCAAATTCTGGCAAATGGGACCAGATTACTTCAGGATATTTGGTTGGCATGGATGAGTTGGACCGAAGGGTCTGTTTCCATGCTGTACAGCTCTAAAACTTTGCAAGGTCATTCAGCCCCCCACCACCTATCTTCCTGTGAGGACAGGGGCCTGGGTTTAAAAACGTGATCAAAAGACAAACCCACAGTTTTCAGGGCTAAAGTGGCCTTTTGTAAGTTATACAAGTGTTGAGGGTCCCCAGAAGGTCAAAGTGCTGCACCAGACAGTTTGCAGCGAGCTGAAAACCCTTCATTTCAAAAACAAGGTCTGTTGTTCACTACATGCATTCGGATTGCACGGTCATTTAGATCAAACTGTGTGGTACAATGACCAGAACTTCTGCTGCCTGGTTCACACCTCAACACGTTATTTAGGTATTCAATTTAGCTCAAATTAGGTCCTTCCTGCATTATGAAAACCTCCAATGATCTATCCTGTTTCACTGCGTAAACTTAAGGCAATAATAGGGTAAGAGTGAAGGCAGTGTTGGCTGAAGTGGACAGAGAAAATAGATTAAAAGGCAGGTTATCAAATAGTGGAAGACCTTATAAGATCTTTTCGCAACTGAACGAAAAGATATATTCCACTGAGAAGCAGAGACCAGGTGGAGATTACCACCATACCCAAAGAAAGGTTTAAGGATAGCATTCATAAAAGATGCACAAAGATGCAAAGCCAAGCCTGAAGATTACAAAAATTTTAGAAACCAGTAAAGGATGAGTAAAACAGAAGGAAAAATTAGAGTACAAGAGAAAAATCAGCCAATATAAGACCAAATAGCAAATAGCAAATTCTGAATCCAAAACAAGGAAATGCAACTAGATCAATTCTGGATATCTGGTCAGCATGGATGAGTTGGATTGAAGGGTCTGTTTCTGTGCTTACAACTCTACTGCAGGTACGTTCAGGAATTTGCATTGATCTTCGGGATAGAAGACAAAACAAAGGTAGGATACTTAGAAATCAAAATATAATCAGGCAGAGTCAACATGGTTTGGTGAAAGGGAAATTGTCTTTGCCAAAATTATTAGGGTTCTTCAAGGATATAGAAGAAGCAAGGTGGGTCAAGGGGAAACTGAAGATGTAGTGGATCTGAATTTCCATAAGGCAAGATATAAAACAGTCAGGGTACAAGTGATAAGTTAGCATGGATAAAAAAATTGGTCAACCAACAGAGAATCGATACAAATGGATCATTCTCAGGTTAGCTAATAGAGTGGCACAGGGATCGGTTCCGGGTACCCCAACTATTCACAATCTACATCTGATGGCTTGGATGGGGGGGGGGGGTGCCAACTGCGTTGTTGCCAAATTTGCTGTCCCACCTGCCTTTGTACCATCAGCAAGTTGTGAAGGAACAGACAGGTGAAAGTGAGTGGGCAGAAACTTTGCAGATGTGGTGTAATGTAGGAAAGTGTGAGGTTGCCCGCTCAGGCAGTAAGAATAACTATGTGTCCTTGTATACAAAATACAAATCAGCACACGAGTACGGCAAGTGAATACTACGTTCAATTCTGGTTTCCCTGCTATAGGAAAGATGTTGTTAAACTTGAAAGGGTTCAGAAAATATTTACAAAGATGTTACCAGGGTTGGACGGTTTCAGCTAAAGGGAGAGGCTGAATAGGCTGGGGCTATTTTCCCTGGAGTGTCAGAGGCTGCAGGGTGACCTTACAGAGGTTGATCAAAGCATGAGGGGCATAGATAGTGTGAATAGCCAAGGTCTTTTCCCCAGAATAGGGAAGTCCAAAACTACAGGGGCGTAGGTTTAAGGTAAGAAGGGAAAGATTTAAAAGGGGGAACCTTTTCATGCAGAAGGTGGTCCATGTATGGAACGAGCTGCCAGAGGAAGTGGTGGAGGCAGGTAAAATTACACTTAAAAGGCATTTGGATGGTTATATGAATAGGAAGGGTTTACAGGGATATGGACCACATGCTGGCAAATGGGACTAGGTTAATTCAGGATATCTGGTCAGCATAGACGAGTTGGACTGAAGAGTCTGTTTCCATGCTGTACAACTTATGACTCTAATTGGGAAGGTCAATACAATGCTGGTCTTCCCTACAATGGAGCTGGAGTGTAAAATAAGTCTTGCTAGAACCATACACAGGGCATTAGAAAGAGAGAATTGCACGGTTTTGGTTTCCTTAACTGAGGGTCATTATTTCATCAGAGGCCGCTGGATTGTAGAGTGATGAGGGAAGGGGAAATCTGGAGACATACAGCCCCCTGACTCAAAGGGAAGCCTTGAATCCAAATGACGGCAGGCTAAAAGGGTAAGAAATGTATAAAGCACCTGGAAAGGGTGGAGACTGTTTTTGGAGGGCTAGCAAACTACAACTCTGACCTGCTGATTCTTGTGTGCATTTGTGTGACTGTGCTCCCCATCTAAAGCATAGCAACTGGAAAGTGCTGTGTCTGTGCGCGCACGTGCCTGTGCCTGTGTGCACGCATGCCCGCGTAGTGCAAGTCTAATACGGTGGTCATTGCAGAGGAGACCAGGCCTCCAGTCTGAGGTCCATTGTCAAACACAGACCACTCGCAAAAATATGGAGGTTTACTCACAAATCAGAAAGAAAAGAAACCATCCTGTCATTTCACTCAAGAGAAATCTGGACATGACTCAACAGTGGGTTGTAATGTCTGCGGTTTATGTCAGTGTGTCTCTTTTAAACTGATTCTCATCTGAGGATTCAAACCCCCCTAACCTCAGTAACTCCCTGAAACCCCTACATTCCCTGCCTGGCTCTGTAACCTACACTGCCAGGCCCTACACTCCCTCTCCAGTCTGACAACCACGACTCAGACATCAGAGTTCAGGGGCGGTGTTAGTGGCTGCTTTATTCATACAGTAAAGCTGAAACATCAGCTCACAAATGCAGATGAATGATTTGGCCGGACCACAACAGCAAAAGCCTTTCGCGGAGACACCCTGCCGAGATGACCGTCTGCATGCCACATGGGGTCCCCAGGGCCTGCCTGAAACCGGACCCTGGCCCGGGGAAGGAGACAGAGCCCTGGAAATTGGGCAGGTCCCAATTTCAGCACTGGGGCTGGCAGCAGCTGCTGCCCTCCCTTCACCGTCTCTTGTGGTGGCACAGCTCTGTCAACAACACCCAGAGACATCTTTTTAGAACCATGAGCTCAGGCTGCGGATTTAGATCGCTGGAGCAAAACAAGCAGAGGAAGGCTGCAGGCAATGTGCGTGGCCCAATGCAAGAACAGTGATCATTAACCCATGCAAACAACCACCCCCACCCGCCCATACCTTACCATGCAATCATTTGTCACTTCCTTGCCGAATATTTTCTGGGTGGGGTTAAAAAAATACGTTGCTAAAATGCCAATACGAGTACTCAACCAAAGGTCAGGAACCATAAATAGTAAGCTGCAGGGCGTTTGATTGGGGGCAGGGAGGGATGAGCTGCAGTTGGCCACAGCAGGAGTAGCAGGTAAACAGGGGAAGTAAATAAAGAGAGAGATTACAGAAACAAGGATTTCCCGACAGGTGGGAACCATGGTGATTGAACTATAGTCATACAGCACGGAAACAGGCCCTTCGGTCCAACTCGTCCGTGCTGACCCAGATGTCCTAAATTAATCTAGTCCTATTTGCCAGCATTTGGCCCTTTGGACCCTTCCCATTCGTATACCTCTACGATTCTCTTTCAACCACTATGTCCTCCCCAGCATCCTGGGGCCTGTACTTAATCCTCGATGCCTAAAAGAAAAAAGGATTTTTAGGGCAGCACGGTGGCTCCCAGTGACTGGGGTTCGATTCCAGCCTTGGGTGACTGTCTGCCTGGAGTCTGCAACCCACAAAATGATACTCTGTATTTAAATCTGATGAATTTCCTTTGATTTCTTTCACTGCAGGGCCCCTTTCGGGGACTGCTTACATTAATCTTGTTGATTTGGATATTTTAATCTATTTAAATCATTCGGGGGGAATGTGGGTAATGATGGCTGGTCCCATTTTATTCTCCATCCCTAAATGCCCCCTCCTCGAGACGGTGAGGGGGAGCTGCTTCCTGACACCCCGCACAGTGCCATTTGGGAGGGAGTTCCAGGATTTTGATCCTGGAGGAACGGCCAACATATTTCCAAGTCAGGATGGTGTATGCGTGTGCGTGTCTGTTGGGCTCAGAGGAGAACTTGCAGGGGGCTGGTGTTCCATGTATCTGCTGCCCTCGTCCTTCGAAGGGGTAGAGGTCACGGGTTTGGAAGGTGCTGTCTAAGGAGCCTCGGTGAGTCGCTGCAGTCGGTCCTGTAGACGGTACAAACTGCTGCGACTGAGCATCGGTGGCAGAGGGAGTGGACGCTTGTGGATGTGGTGCCAATCAAATAGGCTGCTTTGCCCTGGATGGTGTCGAGCTTCTGGAGTGTTGTTGGATCTGCCCTCATCCAGGGCAAGTGGTCAACAGTAACCCCCAGGATGTTAATAGTGAGGGATTCAGTGATGGTAATGCCATTGAATGTCAAGGATCTCTTTAGGCACAAGAGCTACACCTAACTCCTTCTTGAAATCACAATGTTTACCACAAAGCAGTTGGGGTGAAGTGAATTCCACAGGTTCATCACTCCCTGGCTGAAGGAACTTCTCCCCATTTCAATCCTAAAAAGTTTACCCCTTATCCTTAAACTATATCCCCTGGTCCTGGACTCTCCCACCATCAAGAACATCATTAATGCATCTAACCTGCCTCATCCTGTTAGAATTTTACAGATTTCCATTTCCCCCATGCTTCTAAACTCAAGTGAGTACAATCCTAAGTATTCAATCTCTCCCCATACGTCAGTCCTGCTATTCTGGGAATCAATTTGGGTAAACCTTCGCTGTGCTCCCTTTACAGCAGGAGCATCCTCCATCAGATAGGGAGCCCAAAGCTAAACACTGTATTGCAAGTGTGGCCTCACCAAGGCCTTGTATAATTGCAGCATGACATCCTTACTCCTGTACTCGAATCCTCTCGCTAACAAACAGTTTGCCTTCTTTACCACCTGCTGTACCTGCACACTTACTTTCAGCGACTGGCATACGAGGGCACCCAGATCTCGTTGAACATTCTCCTCTCTCTTAGTTTACAGCCAAATAATAACCTACCTCCCTATTTTTGCTACCAAGGTGGATCACCTCACATTTGTCCATGTTATACTGCAGCTGCCATGCATTTGCCCACTCACTCAGCCTGTCCAAATCACACTACAACATCTCTGCATCCTCCTCACAGCTGACCCTTCCACCTAGTTTTGTCTCATCGGCAAAGTTTCAGATATTACATTTAGTTTCCTCAACTAAATCACTGACAGATATGGTGAATAGCTGGAGTCCTAGGACTGACCCCACGAGTCACAGCCTTCCATTCAGGAAAAGACCCATTTATTCCCACTTTTTGTTTCTTGTCTGTAAACTAACTTTCTATGCATCTCAATACACCATCCCCAATGCCTCACTTTAATTTTATACATTAATCTCTTCCATGAAGAGCCTTCTGAAAGTCCAATTAAGTTGCATTCTATCTTCCCCAATCAACTCTACGAGTTACATCCTCAAAGAATTCCAGTAATTTGTTGAACACAATTTCCGTTCTGTAAATCCATGCTGACTGTAGCTGATTCCACCACTGTCTTATAAGCGCTCTAATATAAAATCCTAGATAATGGATTCAGTATCTGAGAAGTCCCGAATAGTGCTGAACATTGTGGAATCATCAGCGAACATCCCCACTTCCGGACCTGAAGATGGAGGGAAGGTCATTGATGAAGCAACTGAATTTGGCTGGGCCTAGGACACTACCCTGAGGAACTCCTGCAGAGATGTCCCAGGTCTAAAACAACTGACCTCAAATAGCCACAACCACTGCTACGAATGACTGCAACCAGCGGAAATTCTTCTCCCCACTCACCACCCCTAGCCCCACCAATTCACACTGACTGGTTTTGCCAAAGTTGCTCGAAGCCTTCGGCCCAACTCGTCAACACTGACCAGATATCTAAATTACTCCAGTCCCCTTTGCCAGCATTTGGCCCCTATCCCTCTAAACCCTTCCTATCCATATCCCCATCCAGATGCCTGTTAAATGTTGTAATTGTACCAGCCTCCACCACTTCCTCTGGCACTCATTCCATACACGCACCACCCTCTGCGTGAAAAAGCTGTCCCTTAGGTCCCTTTTAAATCTTTTCTCTGTCACCTTAAAACTATGCCCACACCTACCATGTTCCCAAACTAAACTAGTCCCATGTACCTGCATTTGGCCCATATCCCTCCAAACCTATTCTTGCACTTTTAAAAGACGTTTTGGATAAGTTGTAGCTGTACCTGCATCCACCACTTCCTCTGGCAGTTCATTCCACATACGAGCCACTGTGTAAAACAAAATTCGCCCCTCATGTCCTTTTCAAAGCCCTGAAAAATATGCCCCCTAGTTTTGAACTCCCCCGCCCTAGGGAAAAGACCTTTGTCCTTCACCTTATCTACGCCCCTCATGATTTTATAAACCTCTAAAGGTCACCCCTCAGCCTCCCAAATTGTCGCCTACAGCTTTAATGTCAAAGGCAGTCACTTTCACCTCACATCTGGTGTAGGAGGAACACACTGATCTCTCAGGTGTGGCATTAGCAACACAATGCAAGGACTATTCAAAGAATACCAGTCCTTCGCCTGTAACTCCTTTCCCAGACCTGATGCCTGCCTCCACACATGACACCACCCATGCTCAGACACTCCACAGTCCTCTTCCTCTGATCCCCATCTCTTCCCCTTCTCCTGGGCGAGGGACAAGGCAGTTGCGTCAGGAGCCTGGCTCCGATCCTTATTTCGGGACACAGTAGCCTCAAGCTCAGAAACAGGCCATTCGGCCCCTCTGCTCTGCTTCCGCTCCATGCCAGTCTCCTCCCAACACGGGTGTCTGCTGACCATGGTGGAGATACAGGTCAATCAAAGCTACACCGTAATCCTTCTCAAAGCCGAGAATCATTCCCAGTTGGATTGCTGCTCACGGACATAATGTCTGGGGAGACGTTGTTGGATTAGTATTCCAGAAGCTTGGATTAATGCTGGTTCAAATCCCACCACGGCAGCCTTTCAGAAGCTTTTATGTTTCATTTCAATCATCTGTGTAAGCACTAACATATGAATACCGGGGCACTATGGTTGTGCAGCCCGTCTTGCCATTTTCTCAGTGAGGAGACTGCAGCTGCCTGGGTCCTGCATATCCTGTTCTGTCCTGGTTGACTTGTATTTCCCGACTGACCTCCAAGAGCTACGCTCCGACGCTGTGAGAAGACAGCTTCTGTTGTAGGGTTTTTTAAAAAAAGTTTATCAGTGGCGAGGAGCCGGAGACAGCGGGGTCAGGTGTAGCAGCTGTAAGCTGCCCCATTCCAACCTGCCTCCTCTCCCACAGCCCTGCTGTACCATCATCTCAGAGGTACACGTGGAGCAGTCCAGCAGCACAGAGGCCAAGATCAGGACAGCATGTAGGGATGCAGGCAGGAGGTTCCAGCGAAGTGGGGCTGTCGGTACCATGTCAACACCAAATATCCGTCACTAATTGGCACTAAAGCTTTACCAGTGAGCCCCCAAAACCATCACTGGGACCCTTCGGAGAAGGGAAAGACAATCATATTCTCCAACTACAAGCACCCTCAGCTTGGAACGCAATCAACTGCCGTCATCCTCCAGCATTTGCCACATGAAAGATCAAATTTCCCCTCCTTTTGGATTTACACTGTGGCATTTGAAACACAGAGGACCAGAGAGTCTGGTCTTTTGATACTTAGACAGCACTCCTCAAATGACACAGAGGAACCATGGTGTGCATGTCAGAAACTCTTGAAGACATGAGGGATGATGTGGTTAAAGCACCGTGAGGGATATGTGACTTTATTAGTCAAGGTACTGAAGACAAGGAGCTTAGGACAGAGCTGTTAACATTAGTTAGACCGCAGCTGAAGTGCTGTGTGCAGTTCTGGTCCCCACACTATAGGGATAATGTGATTGCACTGGAGGGGTTGCAGAGATTCACCAGGATATTGCCTGGGCTGGAGCTATTCAGCTACGAACAGAGACTAGAAGGGCTTGGGTTGTTTTCCGGAGAGCAAAGAACGCTTGGGGGTCGGGAGGTGCTGACTGAGGTGTACAAGGTTCTGGGGAGTCATACAGAAACTCTACCCCTTAACAGAGGGGTCAATTACCACAGGGCAGAGATTTAACATCAAGGGCTGTGGATTTCAGAAAGATTGTTTTTCTCTGCTTAACAGCGTGGTACAGGCAGTAAAGATCACGTCACTGAAGGAGTATTTAGCTGAGTACATGTCACACAATGCTGTGGGCCACATGCTGGAAAAATGGGACTGGAGTAGACTGGTGCTTGATGACCGGTGGATACACAACGGGCCGAAGGACCTCTTTGCGTGCTGTATGACCACTACAAGGCTCACCTGGTGGCTCCCCAATTCTGCCCTCCACCAATGTCTGGAGTGCTACTCGGCCCCTCCATTCTGTTCTGCTGTTCGGTAAGATCACAGCAAGTACCAATCGTGGACCTCATTCCTGCCTCCACCAGATATCCTCTTGATTTCTGTTTGTTCAAACTACATTTGTTCACCTCCTCGGAAAAATTAAATCAAACCTGCCAGCCGTGATTTCCCCTGACAAAGTCATGCTGAGTATCGATGATTGACCCTTGCCTCTCCAAGCGGAGATTTATTCCATCCCTGGAACTTTTTCCCTATAGCATTCCTCCCACGGAGTTTAGATTCAGTAGTGTTTAGTTCTCTTTTTATCCCCCACTTGGACAGTGGTTCAGCATTTGCTATCCTCAAGTCCTCTGGTGCACCTCCTGTGTCCAGAGAGGATTTGCAAATTGACATCAGAGCTCCTGCAATCTCTGTCCTTTTCTACAGTAGCCTTGGAGACATCTCATCTAGGCCCAGGAATTTATCAAATTCTAAACCTCCCAAATTTAATACATTCTCACTCTCAGTTGTAATTTGTTCAAGTGTGTTGCAATCCTCTCCAGCAATAAACTTACCTACAAAACTACACCTGCCTCGTTCCACCAGGGACTTGGGTTCAATTCTCTCCACAGATGCTGCCAGATCTGCTGAGCTCTTCCAGCAATTTCCATTTTTGTTTCTGTGGTAGAGGAACAGGGATTGTTTCCCCTTGTCGGGGAAGTCTAGGACTAAAGGACGTCACCTCAGAATAAGGGATCAAACAATTTAAGCCAGAGATGGAGCAGAATATCTTCTCTCTGCAGGGAGTGGATCTTTACCATAGACAGCCATAAGTACGAGGGTGAGATAAGCAGATTTTTAATCACTAAAGGAATCAAGGGCTATGGGGAAAAGGCAGGAATGTAGAGTTAAGGATGATCAGATCGACCACATTCTCATTGAATGGCAGGAATAGACTCAGTGGGCTGAATGGCCTAATAATGCTCCTATGTGGATGACAATTGAATGAAAAATCCCCTCTAACCACCTAAGATCACAAAATTGGAACATGCTCCCTCCCTCCCTAAGTCCACAAGACAGGGGAGGCATTAGACGGATTTTCTTTTTTCTTCGTTTACATACCCGACCGCATGGCGAACAATCACAAAATCGACTGGCGAATAATCCCTGGCGCCCGCCCGAAGCCCAGCACAGCCCTCGGCTGATCGACATGTTATCAAACTAATCAGGGGACAGCACAAACCCCTTCAACTGATTGACGGCTATTTGGACCAACCACAAAAATATAGTTCTGCAATCTCCCTTGATTGACAGCGCTCTGTGCCAATCATCAACTTCCGCAACGCCCCCCTAACTGACGGCAATTTGGACCAAACAGGGGTCAGTGCCCACCCCTTGCCGTGATTGACGGCCGTTTAGGCCAAACATCACACTGGGCATCACCCCCGACCAACAGCGCTGTGGGCCAATCACGAGGCCGCAAATTGCCCCATACCCTGACTGACAGAGACCCGTACCAATCATGATGTCATACACCGCCTTATCCTCTGATTGATAACGATTTGGACCAATTAGGAAACAATGGCCCACCCCTTCGAACAATCGGAAAATGCCGCCTGCCAAGAGCTTGATCAATCAGCAGCGAGCTTGCGGATGTGGGTGGGAATGCGGCGGGACCGCCTGAAGCCAAAGAGGAGGTGGCCGCGAGTTAAAATCGCGCGACTCTCTCTTCGTTCTTTGTTTTTAGAAAATTAATGTAATATCTCAGCACTTTGTTCACGGCCCACCTGTTTTTCCTCGCCGGTTTCCTCCGCCTGCGTCTCCGGCTCGCGATTCTCCGACATGCCGAAAGGCGGGTTTCGATCGGCTTTCTGCGTTTCCTTTTAGCTCCTTCTTAGTTCCAACCGCCCTGTTTTGTTTCCGAAAACAATAGAGTTCTGTAAAGTCGGTGTAGCGAGATAAGAGAGGGTAACGGGTGAACAGCACGAGAAGCGTCGACCCTGAACCTGTCGGCGCTTTCCGACCAAGCACCAAAGATGGCCGCCGTTGTGGCTGGATAGTACTGCCTACAGCCCGCCTGTCAGTTCCTGATTGACGGGCGGCCTATCAAATCGCACGTTTCCTCACATGACCGACAGGGGCCCCGACCAATTGGCTACTGGCGTTTCCGAATCTGTTGCCGTTTCATCGTTTGATTGACGGATGGTTTGGCTAATAGTAAGCGGGGTGTCCTGTTCGGTTATCCAGCCCACCCCCCGATTGACAGTCTCCCCGGCCAATGGCCGCCCTGCTCACTTGATAGACGGTCGCCGTGGTTAATGGGCGTTCCTCATTCACGATTGACGGATTGCACGGCCAATAAAATGCAAGCATCCTGATTAGCAGGCGGTCGGACCAATTGGACGCCGTAAAACACCCCCCGGCCAATGAAGGACTGCGCATCGTAATAAAGGGCCGAGCTTATTCATTCCCCACCCACTTCACTTGATTGACGTGCAGCTAGGCTGCAGCATTGAGGGAAGGGAAAGGGGCAAGGGATTGCCAATGGGGACTCCCCTCACTGTTCTTATTTTCTGCATTTATCAACCCCCAACCCACAAAACAGCAGGGAGGCTCTGATGGGCTTGTGCCCCCAAGCCATCACTCCAAGGCACTAGGTTTTATGGCATGGAAAGTGGCCCTTTGGCCCATCATATCTGTGGTGTTGGCCAAGGCCTACTTTTCTTTTCCAGTCGCTCATGGCACCTGAGTGTCGCTGGCTTGGGTGCCATTATTGCCCATCCTTTAGTTACCCCTTGAACAGGTGGTGAACCATGGCAGTCCTTTGCGGTACAGGGACGCCCGTGGTGATGTCAAGGAGAGAGTTCCAGGATTTTGACCCGGCGACGCCAAAGGAACGGCCGACGTGTTTCCAAGTCAGCTTGATGCAAGGGGCTGTGTTCCCAAGTGTCTGCCGTCCTTGTCCCTCTAGATGGAATATAGGTCTTGGATTTGAAAGGTGCTGTCTAAGGATCCTTGGTAAATTTCACTCCTCTAGCCAATATGTACTCATTCCCACTGCGCCATAAGCGATAGGAACAGGAGCCGGCCATTCAGCCCCTCAGACCCACTCACATTCAACAAGATCACAGCTGATCTGACATTACTTATGAGCACTTCCCTGACCTTTCCCTCAATTCTCCGACTGATCATGAATCTATCAATCTCAAACTTAAATATACACAAGGACTCTGCCCTCACGGCTGTCTGTGTGGCAAAGAGTTCCAAAGACTCACAACGCTCTAAGAGAACACATTCCTCCTCATCTCAGTTTTATGTTGATGCCCCTTAATCCTGAGATGATGCCCTCTAGTCCTAGACTGTCCCATGAGGGGGAACATCCTGTCAGTGTTTACCCTGTTTAGCCCCTTAAGAATCCTGTATGTTTCAATGAGAGTGCCTCTCATTCTTCTAAACTCCAGTGAATCCCAACCTGTTTATTTTTTACTCATAAGACAAACTCTAGTGGCCATGAATTCATTCATTAATTCTGCTTCATTGCACAGTACCAGGTCTGGTACAGCCTCATCTCATGGAATCATACAGCCTGGAAACAAACCCTTTGGTCCAGCCAGTCCAAGCTGGCCATGTTCCCAAACTAAACTAGTCCCACCCACTGGTGCCATATCCCTCCAATTAAAAACCAAAAGAACTGCGGATGCTGTGAATCAGGAACAAAAACAAAGTTGCTGTAAAAGCTCAGCAAGTCTGGCAGCATCTGTGAAGAGAAAATCAGAGTTAACGTTTCAAGTCCTCAGAACCCACGTCCCTCCAAACTTCTCCTATTCACGAACTTATCCAAATGTCTTTTAAACATTGTAACTGTACCTGCATCCACCACGTCCCCTGGCAGTTCATTCCACACACCAATCACTCTGTGTAAAATAAAAAATGTCCTTTTTAAAATCTTTCTCCTCCCACCTTAAAAATATGTCCCCTAGTTTTGAACTCCCCCACCCTAGGGAAAAAACCCTTGTCATTCACCTGATCGACACCTCTCATGATTTTATAAACCTCCATAAAGTCACCCTATGCTCCAGTGGAAAACAGTCCCAGCCTTTCCAATCCATTTTCGTATTTCAAACTTCCATTCCTGGCAATAGCCTGGTAAATCTTTTCTGTTGGATCATGCTCTAAGAAACCATCTGGAAAAATTGTGGATAAACTCCTGGCTACCTTTTACCTGTCTGAAATTTTCCAGTCCACGTGCAGGTTAAAATCCACCATGATGATTGTTGTACCTTTGTGAGAAACTCTCATTATTTCATCCTTTATCTGCCTACTTTCGAAAGTGCGGTGGGGCGGGGGGGGATGCGTGAGGGAACAGCCTGTGCACTTATCATTAACCATGTCAACATTCCAGTTCCCCGAACTTCCCCTCTCGATTGTGTAAACACCATCATTAATTAACAGAGCCACCCCCTCCACCTTTCAGGAGCTAAATCACATGTACCCTTTGATGTTCACAGCCAATGTCTTGGGGGTAAGATAAAGCTTGATCCAGACTATGTTTCCTTATCTGTATTTGCTGAGCCTGTGCTGATAGCGTTGTCACACACCCACCCCCAAGTTGACTAATTCTTTGGCAAGTGGCTCAGTCACCACTGAACCTTGTGGTTATTGATCTGCAGCTTACAAGAAACAAAGGAGCCTGCTTGTAACCTTCAGCTGTCTGCATCAAAGTGACCACCAGGTTTCCAAAGAAGTTAATAACTGACAGGCAAAACGCATCTAGTACCTTGGCACAGCCCAGCACGGAGGCACCAGGTTGAGGTGGTGCATCTCTCACTCTCTCTCTCACCTGTGTGAGGACTCGTGCCATTGTTGAGGTCAGCCCGAGGGATGAGCCTGAAAGCCCATCGTTGTGGGATGGCGTTAGTTTGTGTGGGAAAGGGCTGGGCTGGGGTTGGGATGTAGGACACGGAACTGCCCCACCGCGCCCTTCACAAACGGGCAATCTGAGCGAACCCGAACCCCGAAATGGCAGGCTCAGTGACACGAGAAGGCTGCAGGGAGGTAATATTCGGAGTCCGGAAGGACAAAGAGTCTGGAGAGGCATATTCAACGCACGTTGAGCCTGCGGTGTTACTTACTGTTGGCTACGTACAGCTCCCAAAGCAGTAAATCTCTCCATCACACTATCACATCAGATACATCCAGGGCACATCCTCACTGATGGAGACAATGTAGAGGGAGATTTACTCTGTATCTAACCCCGCACTGTCCCTGTCCTGGATGGGGGACAGTGTAGAGGGAGATTTACTGTGTATCTAACCCTGTGCTGTCCCTGTCCTGGATGGGGGACAGTGTAG